GTTTGGTGTTATTCTTCAATCGTGAAGTAGGACCAGATAAACTTGGAAAAAAAAAGTTTATTCTTGTGTCTAAAGGCTTGTATTCCAATGGATATACTATATACAGATATACTTAGGTATAGAAGCATCCTTCTTCTTTGGTTATAAAGACAGAAATCAAATCAGTAACACAGAAATTTTTGGTAGAGAATGACTACTTGTTAATTTAGGTTTTCTAAGGAACATGAAATATGAGAGTACTTTTTGTACATCAATAATTTTATATGGTTCAAACCTTATAAAGCTTTTACTCACTGGCATCCCGGTTTAACCTTCCAGGTTAGACACTTCAGATGTTGAATCTTAGGTTGACTTCTTATTGTCATTTGGAAGGCATATGGACCACTTTCCTTTTTTCTTTCAATCCTCTTCCTATAACTTTGATAAAAGCTAAGAAAAGCAAAATGTACTTTATCATCTAGTAAATAAATGTGCATCCATATTTCTAGTTCTAATATTAACCCTTATTCAAATGGAAAGAGAAATCTACAACCCCTTTCAACGTATTGTGTAGTGAATTTTTACCTAAGCATCTTAAATAAGGGCACAAAGTCAATAGGTTTCCTTTATTTCAGGCCATATTCATTAAACAAAAAAAATCAAGTGAAAGCTGTGAGTGTTATTAGCCTCTATAGTCTCATTATGATTTTTGTTCTGAAAATTGCTAAAGGTGTTTGTTTGTTCCCTGTGGTCAGTAGTCACTAAGCCTGGAGGATGGGTGGTGTGCCTAAACTTTTACTTTGAGAAATTACATTATACTATCCTGGTCCTCCACTCAGTCTGACTTCTCCCCTTGATTTGATTGACTTATTTTTCTTTCTCTTATCTGGTAAGTATACTCTAGGACCAGTTGTGGACTTTTTCTCAGGTCATATTCTAATTCTTTACTGATCAATGTCTCCATTACCTGAGGACCATAAATATCCTTTTTTTTTTTTTTTTGGGGGATACTGGGGATTGAACTCAGGGACACTCAACTGCTGAGCCCACATCCCTAGCCCTATTTTGTATTATTATTATTATCTTTTATTAGAGACAGTGTCTTACTGAGTTGCTTAGTGCCTCACTTTTGCTGAAGCTGGCTTTGAACTCCTGATCCTCCTGTCTGAGCCTCTGGAGCCACAGGGATTACAGGCCTGTACCTGGGCAAATATCCCACTTTGGCTT